AAGTATCTCTGCTAGGAAGTCCTCATTCTGTCTAGAAGGGTTTATATTATCATAGTAGTAGTCAGGCCCGGCGCTACCGCAAGGCAAGTCAGGCGGCCGCCTAAGGGCGCTGCAGGGTGAGGGCGGAAAAAACAGGGCATGGTGAGAAGTACTTGTACAAATGCCCCGATGTTTGCGCTATGGTTTTTTTTCACTTACCTTCGGGGCGGGAGAGCAGCGGCGAGTCAGCGCTGGTCCAGTGGGAGGAGCTCCAGGTGGGGTCCTAATTTAGCTGGCCGGCGACTGCCAGAGGATCCCGACACGAGCGGCACCTCAGGTGTCTGATCACGCAGAGCATCGCAGGTTGCTGTGTATGGGGCTGTGTAGTCACAGACTGATCAGGGTGTCCATGCTGACATGTTTCTAACACCAAAAGCACCTACAATGGGCACGTAAGCATCAGAACTGGACCACGGAGCGATGGAAGAAGGTGGCCTGGTCTGATATACATCATGTGGATGGCCGGGTGTGTGTGTGTGTGTCCCTTACCTGGGGAAGAAGACAAGCTGGCGGAGGCAGCGTGATGCTTTGGGCAATGTTCTGCTGGCTAGCCTCGGGTCCGGCCACTCATGGGGATGTTACTCTGACACGAACCACCGACCTCAACATTGTTACTGACCAAGTATCTGCCTTCATGGAAACAGTATTCCCTGATGGCAGTGGCCTCTTTCAGCAGAATATTGCGTTGCGCCCGGCCACACTGCAAAAAACGGGTGAAGAACGGTTTGAGGAACACAACAACGAGTTTGAGGTGTTGACTTCAAATTCTCCAGATCTGAATCCGATCGAGTGTCTGTGGGATGTGCTGGAACGTACAGAAAAGTATAGTACTGTATAGTATATAGTAGTATAGTACAGTATTTAGTACTATAGTATGGTATACTACTGTGTAGGTTAGTACCATATAAAACAGAGTAGAATAATATAGTATTGTAAAGTTTAGTATAGATACAAAGTATCTGTGGTGGACATTCCCATGTTCAGAGGGGGGTATATAGAATAGTATAGTACAGTACAGAATAGTAAAGTATAGCATTCATACCCCTTACACTAGTATGGTATACTATATACCCCCACTAGAGGGGGGTATATAGAATAGAATGAAATAGAATGATTTACAGGGTTATTCACAGAAGGGTGAAGAGTTTGGAGAAGGGAACAATCTAGGACAACATCGCTGATTTAGAAAAATTCTCCCACTCAGCTCACTGTCCAGCTCGGCGATGTTGTCCTAGATTGTTCCCTTCTCCAAACTCTTCACCCTTCTGTGAATAACCCTGTTAAAGTTCTGTGGTAGGAAGCAGGGGCGTAACTAGAAATCACAGGGCCCCATAGCAAAATTTTGTATGGGGACCCCGTGATTGCTAGTCATGCCACTTGCAGAGCCCACCATAGACTCTCTATAGTGGGCTCTGCAGGGTCTGAGATCTCTTACCTGTGAGCGCCTCTGTGGTCGCCGGGCCCCGACTCCTGTTCCGTCCCCGGGCCCCGCCTCCTCTGCTATCGACGGGCCCCGCCTTTTCTTAAATCACTGGCTCCACCTGCTCTTAGGTCGCTGGACAGTGATGTAAGAGGTGGCGGGCCCCGCCTCCTCCATTCCGAACACCGCCCTCATCTGCCGCAGCGGCTGGCTGTCACTGACACAGCTCCGCAGCGGCTTTGAGGGGAAATGTGCCGTGGCCGCTGCTGAGCTGTGTCTGTGACAGCCAGCACCCCCACATGCCATAGCAACCCAGGCGGCCCCGGCCGGGCCCCCCTGTGCCCGGGCCCCATAGCGGCTGCCTGGGTCGCTATGGCGATTGTTACGCCACTGGTAGGAAGGCCTGTGCCTGGAGGGGGTATATAGTACAGCAGAGTATGGTATCGTATAGATAACCTTTTTTTTAAACCCGTATTGTATTATGGCAGCAATGTGCAGTATTATGTTTCCTCTAAAGATATCAGTAGTCGCACCATTGTTGATATCATCATGTGACCGTCAGGAGAGAGTCAAAGAAAATGGCGGAGGCACGTTTGACTTTCAAGCAACGCAAAACCGTTTTGAAGCAGTATTGTAAATTTGAAAATGTGTGTGAAGTTCAATGACAAGTTTGGAACAGAACCACCTACAGGAGTAACAATCGCACGGAGTCGTGATGAGTTCGAAGCCGATGGCACTGTGTGTGATGTGCACAAGCCAAAGACCTGGGAGGGGTCGCACAGCAACAAGTCCTGCTTCCTCGGACACGGTGTTGCAACAGTTTACACTCTCACCGCAAAAGTCTGTCAGACAATGTGCACGTGAGACAGGAATGAGCAGATGAAGTATACAACGTATCCTGAAGAGAGCACATTGGAAATGTTACATCCCGAGACTGTTACACGCCATGACTGACGGTGACCTTACCGGCCATTCGTGCGATTTAGGCGGAGGAGCAATTTTACTTCCAGCAAGATGGCGCAGCACCTCACTGCCACCGAGGCGTAAGAGCCTATCTATTCTGCCAGGACGTTGGATAGGACCCAGAGGTGCTGTTGAATTCCCTCCACGTTCCCCGGACTTAACACCCCTCGATTTCTATCTGTGGGGAACACAAAGGAATGTGGTATACCGTAGAAAACCCGCCACACTGGCTGCACTACGGGAAGAAGTTGAAATATCACGCAGAGCAATCCCTGTGGCCACTCCCGTCAATGCTGTTCATGCCGCAGTGCGCCAAAATCAAAAGTGTCTGGATGCTATTGGTGACCACTTTGAGCACCTAATGTGATTGCGTAATTCAAACATGGCTTCCAGCTGCCTTTAGATGTTTATAGAAATCTACTAATAACATTTTTATGCCTATATTTTTCATGTTGAAGTGTGTCTACATTTTTTGGGTCCCTCTGTATATTCAGCTCAATACACTTATTTAACATCAATTTCCTCTTGACAATATACTTTACAGTTTCATTAAAAAAAAACAATATTTATCATTAAATCATATGTTATGCTGTACTGAGTCCAGCCTTGTACGCGTTTTGTCGAAGCTTCATCAGGAAGATTGTAGGTAGCCTGTGATGTTCACATGGATGATGATAAGTAAATACACCAATAGTGACATAATAAATAAACTCCACTAACGAAACAATCACAACACGAAGCAAATACATAGACACCATTTTATGAGATTCTAGTGGTGAGTAAATCCGCATATCCGGGGAGTCTCCCTCATCAACCAGGAAACAGAGAGGATGGAGGACGGGTAAGGGCGGCAAGGCTGGGGCAGCGTAGTGCCTGTCCAGGAGTACCTATTAAAATTGCAATGCATTCTGAGAATCTACCATTATAATTGTTCAAGCAGATAAAAGGTCTCCAACCTAAGCAGACACGAGTCTCCAACCCAACCAGACAAGAGTCCCCAACCCAACCAGACAAGAGTCTCCAACCCAACCAGACACGAGTCTCCAACCCAACCAGACAAGAGTCTCCAACCCAACTAGACATGAGTCTCCAACCCAACCAGACACGAGACTCCAACCCAACCAGACAAGAGTCTCCAACCCAACCAGACACGAGTCTCCAACCCAACCAGACACGAGACACCAACTCAACCAGACACGAGTCTCCAACCCAACCAGACACGAGTCTCCAACCCAACCAGACAAGAGTCTCCAACCCAACCAGACACGAATCTCCAACCAGAAAAGAGTCTCCAACCCAACCCAACCCAACCAGACAAGAGTCTCCAACCCAACCCAACCAGACAAGAGTCTCCAACCCAACGAGACAAGAGTCCCTCTAACACTCAGTGGGCTTTTATAGGAACTACATTGTACCTGAGACAGAGGGAGATCCTGGATAATAAATCTCTCCAGATCCACAAATGCAGTAAGCAGAAGTCAGAGCTCCAATATATACAGAGTACAAACATCTCACTCATGTCCAGAATTCATTATAAATAACTCATGACGTCCAACATGTCACTATATAGATTCTAATGTGTCTCAGTATGTCCTAGTATATCTATATTTTTAGATTGTAAGCCCTCAGGGGCAGGGCCCTCCACACCATCTTGTCTTGAATTGTATTGTGATTGTAATGTCTTCCTTATATTGTAAAGCGCTGCGCAAACTGTTGGCGTTCTATAAATCCTGTATAATAATAATATGTGTCTACAGATGGTCCTAAGAGGTAACATGTCAATAAAAACTTCACATAGAAAATCACTGCTCTATGCTTATGTGTAATGCTGCTCAAACTAAACATACACACCTTCTGATTATATTGTCTGAGGTAATATATAATATAGTATGTAATGGAATAGTCTAGTCTAGTATGTTGTAGTATATAGTATTAGAGTATAGTAGAAGAAGAATGATACAAAGTCCCAGCAGAAGCAAGGAGGGAGTATATAGTTGTGTATATTGTTGTATAGAGTAGTATCATATAGTATGGTGTAGTATATAATAGAATAGTATTTTATAGTATCTTGCAATATAACTGTAGTATATTGTAGTATATAATAGAGTAGTATCATATAGTATTATAGTATATAATGCAATAGTATTGTATATTATAGCATAGAGTAGTAGATTGTAGTGTTGTATAGTATATATTGAAATAGAATATTGTAGTATATCATAGAGTGGTATTGCATTGTACCTTGCAGTATCTTGCAGTATCTTGTAGTATATTGCAGTATATATTGGAATAGTATCTTGCAGTATCTTGTAGTATATTGCAGTATATATTGGAATAGTATCTTGCAGTATCTTGTAGTATATTGCAGTATATATATTGGAATAGTATCTTGTAGTATCATAGTAGATACAAAGTCCCGTTGGTAGGAAGTCCCGTGTCCGGAGGGGGAGGGTTGCGGCCATGGCAGCAGTCGGTCGCCAGGGGGCGCCAGGCAGTCGGACGTCGCTGCGTCCTCCAGTCTGGTTGCGGGTCGGGCACAGCGAGTGCAGGGGAGCCGGGAGGAGTCGCAGGAGTCGGTCGCGCGATGCTGGGCAGCAGGACGACATGAGGCATCGGGCAGCATGAAGCAGCCGGATAGCCCGGACGGGTTCCGGAACGGCTATGTAAGGAGCTCGGTGACCCCTCTGAAGCCGGACCCGCCCGGGGGCCCCTGGTGGCCCGCATGGCCCGGACGTTTGCGCTGCTACGCGCTATGGTGCGCCGCGGTGGCTGCGTTGGCCGCCGCCTGTTGGCAGAGCACAGGGTGGGCGCAGAGTTTGGTGCTGGCCCTGAGCCCCCTCTTCAGTCTGGGCTGCGCTTTCTTCTTCCTGACCTGCTACCTGGCCCGGTCCCAGAGGGGCAGCGGGGCTCTGTGGCTGCTGGCACTGCCCGTGTGCTGCCACTGCGGGGATGTGCTGGGTGCCCAGCTGCTGCCAGGTGGAGAGGTGGCACGGCTGCTGGCGGTGCTGCTGTGTGTGGGGCTGCTGACCCTGTGGCAGGCTCTCCGGCTGTGGCACAGTGTGCTGGTGCTGCTCTTCTCCAGCCTGGTATGGCTCATCTCCCTTACCAGCCTCAGCTGGGTGTCCCATGCCATCAGAGCCCTGGGAGGTTGCCTGGTGGGGCTGGCCGGCTCTCTGCTGGCTCTCTTCTTCTGCCATTGCTTCCACATCCGGGAGAACCAGCCCAAGACTGGGCCACTGCTGGAGGACAAGGTGCCAGTCATCAGACCCAGGAGGAGGTCCAGCTGTGTGTCCCTGGGGGAGACCTCCAGCAGCTACTATGGAAGCGGCAAGATGTCCAGGAGACCTTCCCTGCCCTGCATCTCCCGGGAGCAGGTAAGAGGAACCTTCATTTCTGGGGACTTTGTTGTGAGTTTGAGGGACCACAAGTGACAGCGTGCCAGTCCCACATGGGTCAGAGAGTGCTCAGGGATGGTGTAATTGGGTTTTATTGAGGAACTACAAGTCTCAGCATGTCTTCTACTCACTGATAGGGCACTGCAGGGAACTTGGTCTAAGTTTGGAAGAAGTACAGATCACAGCGTGGACCCTCTGACCTGATGGGTAGAAGGCTTGTTTATAACATTGGTGCATGTTTGAGGAACTACAAGTCCTAGAATAGCCCTGACGGGGCACCAGGAGAACTTAGTGCAAGTTTGGTAGAAGTTTTAGGGACTACAAATCCCAGCATGGCCCCTTTTCACTGATAGGTCACGAGGAGAACCTAGTGCAAGTTTGGTAGAAGGTAGAGTGACTACAAGTCCCAGCATGACGCCTCAGAGGACACTAGGAGCACTTAGTGCACGTTTGGTAGGAGGTTGAGTAACTACAAGTCGCAGCATGGCCCCTTCCCACTGACAGGGCACTAGGAGAACTTAGTGCAACTTTAGTAGAAGTTTTAGGGACTACAAGCCCCAGCATGGCATCTGCACTCTGAGAGGGCACTACGAAAGTTTAGACCAGTTTCGGTAGGATTTTTTTCGATGACTACAAGTCCCAGCATGGTTTTTTCTGACCCTCAGCTCTGTGTTTTTGTGCTTTTGGTTGAAGTTTGAGGGACTAGAAGTCTCATCGCGGCCTCTTGTGTAGAAAGAGTGTGCCGAATCATCTTTTCATTTTAGTTCAGGTTTGAGGAACTGAAAGTGACAGCATGCCCTTCCACCACAGGCTGAGAGTGCTCAGAGATGGAACTACTAGTCCCAGTGTGCCCTTTACTTCCTGCCAGGTCACTTTGTTGAAAGTTTGATGGAATTACAGAGAAGTTTGAGGAACTACAAGTCTCATCATGGTCCCTGTATAGCCTGGCAGAGAATGCTGGAAGTTGTTAGAAGGACCACAAGTCCCAGCATACCTTCTGTTCTGGCAGGACACGCTGAGACTTGGCAAGTCGGAAGAACTACAAGTATCATCATTCTGCACCTAGACGGAAAGTGATGAGATGCTGCAGGTTTGGGACATATTCGGCGCACTACAAGTCCCAGCATGTCCTCTGTCCTCTGGTGTGCTTGTTGGTGGCGGGCCTGTTGGAGTCGCTGTAGACTTTGGTTATGTCGGTTGTTTTGTGACGCATTTAAAGCACCAAAACTGTGCTCAGCGTTTGTTTGGCTCACTAGAAGTCCCAGCATGCCTTCTGCTCTCAGGGCCTTCCCGAGACTGGAAACCAACTGCTTAGAAGTTCGGGGAACTACAACTCCCAGCATTGCCCTGCATTAGCTTGGAAAGACAATGTTAAGATTTGGAGCACAGTGTGCTGTTAATCTGAAGAACTACAAGTCCCAGCGTGGTGAGGTCGGCTGTAATGCGGAAACTTGCTGTGACATTGTTGCATATTTGGGTCAATTCTGTCCTCAGTGCTGAGCAACTACAAGACCCAGCATGCCCCCCCCCCCCCCGCGTGTGTGTTTCGCC